TCTGCAAAGCACTATTTTGTCAGCAAAACTTGGGAAACTCCTACTGGCTATTTCTTGAGGATATTTTCTGGAACTTCAGCTCAATTAGACTTAAATTTGACCTTGACATTGACCTCTCTGTTTCGACTATCCAACATGCTACAGGACACTTTTCAGCTTCACTGACTCCAACTAGCCATGAGTTCTCACCTTGCTGGTTCTAGAACTCCTCTCACAGAATAAACTTTCTCTCCCCACATTACTCCCTCAACCCGGTTCCTAAAGCAGAAATTCTCCCAAATGTGGTTCCAAAAAACCTTACCTTAGGACCACCCAAAAGGTTTATTTAAAAAATTAGAATAAAATCTCCAGGGGTGGGCCAAGAGGCCTGCATTTTTAAACAAGCTTCCTACCCATCTGCAGTGGTTTTGAAAGCAAATAATCTAAGGCTATTTTAGCTAGTATTAGTCATTGTGAAGGCATACCACTCTGTCTATTCTTCATTTATGTCCAACAAACACTTACTAAAGTCCTACTGTGTGCTAGGCACAAGCTTGACCCATGAGCCTTTCATTCACAAAGCTCTTATGGAATGGCACAGAACTCAATGCTGCTTTCCAGGGGGAGGGGCATGTTACCAGACTCCTGATAGGTTTAGAACTTCTGTCCTTAGGATCTTTGTCATCCCATCTCCACACTAGGAAAAGCCCCCATCCTTTTACCCCAAACTGTTGGCTCCATAGCCCCAAAGCAAGAGTCTTTCTATGCTTTGGGGCTATGGAGCCAACAGTTTGCATGTGCTCAAGTGTCTCCAAGGAATAACATGGTGGGGCTTGCCAAGAGGTTTCTCAGAAACAACTGTAAACACACAGAAGACCAGACTGCCACCCTCCATCACTTCTGTCTGCAGAGAAAAAGCTTGTACTTGGTTCAAATGGGAGAGAAAAGTAGTCATGTGTGTTGGGCAGGGGTGGCTGCTGTGGTGAGATGGGAAAGATTTCAAAGCATTCCTACATCAAACAGAACCTGGCCATCAGGACCCTCTGCCATACATCCTGCTGAGAACTCAGCACCAGGACCCCGGAGGGCAAGTGACCCTAGGGAATTCATGACTTGAGCAAACAATAAAATCTGTAAGACATTTCTCCCATACCCTGAAAACATCTAGGAAACAAACTTTAAAAGTTTCTCAAATTACCCCTATTTCCCTGGCCAGTGTGGCTCGGTTGGAGTGTTTTGTCTCATGCATCAGGAAGTTGAAGGTTCCATTTCCAGTCAGGGCACACACCTGAGTTGAGGGTTTGATCCCAGTCTGGGTAAGTGATTGATGTATCTCTCCCCTGTCCTCCCAGCCCTTCCTCTCCTCTTCTCCCATTCATATTCTCTCTCTCTCTCTCTCTCTCTCTCTCTCTCTCTCTCTCTCTCTCTCTCTCTCTCTTCTTTCCTTCCTCCCCCTCTGTCTCTCTAAAAGAGTGGTTCTCAACCTTTCTAATGCCGAGACCCTTTAATACAGTTCCTCATGTTGTGGTGACCTCCAACCATAAAATTATTTTTGTTGCTACTTCATAACTGTAATTTTGCTACTGTTATGAATCATGTGACCCACAGGTTGAGAACCACTGCTGTAGAGCCTAAAACCATCAGAAAACACAGATATTTACATTACAATTCATAACAGTAGCAAAATTACAGTTATGAAGTAGCAACAAAAATAATTTTATGGTTGGGGGTCACCACAACATGAGGAACTGTATTAAAGGGTTGTGGCATTAGAAAGGTTGAGAACAACTACTCTTAAAAAAACAAAACACAAACCATATCCTATATTCACATCTTTCTACATACACTGCCCTCAATATTACCTTCCAATTTATCCTTAGGAACTATAGACACAGATTCTTCTGGAGTAGACCTGTGCCAGGAATGAATCCTTTGGTCCTTTGGTTTGTGAATATTCCCTCCCCCACCTCCCCAGCCTAACCTTCCCCTAACAAAATATTCTAACATAGTACGACCTTGGCAAATGTTTGTTGAATTTGAGGCTGAGATGATCAGAGTCTTGACTGCTGACCTGAGCATCTCAGGAGTGGGAATGACAATTCTGAACCCCAAAGTGTAGGTATACCAAAGACTGGGAGATGAAAGGGGTAGAAGGAAGGATGAACAGAATGTATCCCCCTGTATGCAATTAGCAGGGAGTCTGAACAAATAGTGAACAATCTCACCCACAGCTGTGAAAACAAAACAACTCAGTTTAAAAAAATCTCATTCTGCTTTTAGGATACTCGTTTCTCTTAGCAAAAGTTCAATCTCCAAAACTTTGCTTCAGTGAAATAGTGTGGACAGCTCATTAGTGCATCAAACTCAATGTTTAATTGTGATAGGAAGGACCCAACTTTTGCCCCAAGTTCTTAGCAGCAAAAACCTGGTCCTTGTTGCAGTGAAGGTCGCTAAAGCAGCTAGGCCAGTGGTCGGCAAACTCATTAGTCACCAGAGCCAAATATCAACAGTACAACGACTGAAATTTCTTTTGAGAGCCAAATTTTTTATATTTAAGCTTCTTCAAAATAGACTCGCCCAGGCCGTGGTATTTTGTGGAAGAGCCACACTCAAGGGGACAAAAAGCCGCATATGGTTTGCAAGCTGCAGTTTGCAGACCACGGATCTAGGCTATTTGTTTTTTCTGAAACCTCAGAGAAAGGGCCCTGTATTTGATAGATTTTGGTCAGACTTGCCAGACAGTGAGGGTAGGTTTTCTGTCCTACATCCTGGGTTGCAGCTAGCTAGACATCTTCAAAGAGGTTTATGAGGCCACTCTTCATTTTTGGCCCCCTGGGGCCTCTAGGCCTATGTGTTGTCATTGGGTGAGTACCTTTTGAGAGAGGGCCTTATGGTGTTGACGTAGGAGTGTAAGAGCTGGGACATTATGTTGCTGAAAACTGGCTAAGAGTCCAGCCAGAGGAGCTTCTATGAACTCAGCAGCATGTGACTCGCTGATACTTTTGCATTAAAGGTGCAGAGGGAGAACAGTGAAGAAATACATCTGCATTTGAAGCCTGAGCTAGCTCTGGAGAGCTCTATCATTTCCTGACCTGGGTGCTAGAGAAAAGCTCTTATTTTTCTTTTTATAAAAAACTAGTTAGGACCTTTGTCATTTGATTGGCTACACGAGAAAACTGAAGTAGCAACACCAAGTTTGAAGGGAAGTTTGAAGGGATCAAGTTCAGCATAGGATTCTATTTCCCAATGAAATCCAAGCACTCCAGCAGCGCAGGAATCCCAGGCTCCTTCAGTTTTGTGCTGGTTCCTCTCCATTTTCCCCCTCTGCACCACAGCTCCCCCCTCCCCCATCTTGGCTCAACTTCAGCCTCACCAGCAGTAACACTTCTGGTGTGGCTTTGTTTATTCGCAAGTTCACGTCCCTGTAAGGAACTGGCTCCCTAGACGCTGGTGGCTCCTATATTCCAGACTTCCTCATAGTGCAATTTTAGGCAAGGGCTCAATGGCTCTTTCATGACAAGTGGATCAGTAAAACAATAATAAAACCTCCGTCACCATAACTCAGAGGCTGTAATAGATCAAGTGCTCAAGGGCACTTGAGAAGCCAAGAGAAGACTCTTTATTCACAGAGTTGTGTTTTTTTGTTTGTTTGTTTGTTTTTTGTTTTTAGGAAACCACTCTCTTCCATGACCGCTGCGTGTAAATAACATCTATTTGTTTAATTGGTTATTTTCCTACAGCCACAAAGAGGGGAATATTAAAAAGAAATATTCAAGGAAGTCGGAAAGTTTGTCAATGTAAATCGCGTCTCTGTAGCCCTTCTACTCTTCATTTCCTGTGCCAACTGCACTTTTATTTCCCGTCTCTCCACACTCAGTAAACAAAACCGTATTATCAAGGGAAAGACGTGAGCCCATTAACATTGTAAGCCCTCAGATTTCACTCGCAAGAGACGACGCAGCACTTATCTGATGGAACAGAAGCTTTAATTGCTTCGAGGTACAAGCCCGTCCAAACCTCTGAGATCTGACCGGTCCCTGGGAAGCCTCTGCGCCCTTGAGCCAAGCGCCGGGAGAGAGCGTGCCCAGCGCTCCTGCGAGCACCAACCTCTCCGTTAGGAGCACAGCCGCCCCCGCTCCATCACAAGGGCGGATTCCTTATTTTGACAACCCAGGCAGAGGGGAGAAGCAGCCAAACTTGTGAACAGGGAAGAAACTTTATCTTCTGTCAAAACGTGTCACTCACTCCAACAGCCGCACCCAGGCCCCCGCCGAATGGAAGGGGTGAGGACGCTGGAGGGACAGCTGCGCAGTAACGTGAGAACCTAGCCTGACCGTGAAAAGGCTGTGCCTGCCCAGGTATCCAGCACTCACAGCACAACCTGTAGTTCCTTCATTAGGTCGGAGAAAAGTGGGGGAGGACGGGGAATTAAGCTTTCCCTCCAGGTTTAGGAAAGAAATAACATTAGTGCCAAGAAAAACAAAAAACGCAGAGGTCTCAGAGAGAAGAGGAGGAGGAGGAATCACTACCTTCCCTGGAGAAAGGCTAAGAGCAGTCCCCACCGGCCAAGCCCCACGCTCCTTTTTAACCCCTTCCGCTCCGAGATGGTCCAATCTGCACCTGAGCGACCACCCATGGACCCAGAAAAGTTCTCGCCCCCTCCTCCCTCCATCCTCTCTCCCTCACCCGAGAGGCCAGTCCCGCCTGCCCCACTCAGCCCTCCCCCCGGGCCGTGCGGCTCTCCCCCCCCTTCCCCGAGGGGGGCCACTGGGTGGCGGCCTCCCGCAGGTTCGGGGCCAAGTTGGCAGCAGGGCAGGCGGGCCGTGCGGGGCGGGCGCCCATTGGCCGGCCTGCGCCACGTGGCCCCCCGGGCCGCTATATGAGTCACTATTTGCCCCGGGCGCGCTCGCCATGGCTCCGCGAGGGCATCCCGAGTAGAGTGAGGGCACAGGAGGAGCGGCGGGAGCCCGGCGGCCGGTCCGGTGGGCCTGCAGCCCAGCTCCGGGGGGAGCGCCGGCACCATGAGCTCCTACCTGGACTACGTGTCCTGCGGCCGCGCCGGGGGCGGGGGCGACCTGCTCAGCCTGGCGCCCACGTTCCGCCGCGCCGACGCCCGGCCGGTGGCCCTGCAGCCCGCCTTCCCCCTGGGCAGCGGCGACGGCGCTTTCGTGGGCTGCCTGCCCCTGGCCGCCGCCCGCCGCCCCGCGCCTTCGCCGCCGGCCACCCCCGCGCCGCCGCCCGCCGCCCCGCCGTTCGCGCCGTGCCGCCTGGAGGGGGCCTACGAGCCGGGCGCCGCACCTGCCGCCGCGGGGGCCGCCGACCTCGCCTTCCTGGGGCCCGGGCCCGCCTTCGACTTCCCGGGCGCGCTCGGGCGGCCGGCCGACGACGGCGGGGCGCGCGTCCACTACGCCACCTCGGCCGTGTTCTCGGGCGGCGGCTCCGTGCTGCTCAGCGGCCAGGTGGACTACGCGGCCTTCGGCGAGCCCGGCCCCTTCCCGGCGGGTCTCCGGGAGCCCGCCGACGGCCTCGCCGGGGCCTTCCAGACCGCGTCCCCGGCCCCCGGCGCCTACCCCACGTCCGCCTCCCCGGCGTCCGGCCTGCCCGCCGCGCTCAGCACCTTCGAGTGGATGAAAGTGAAGAGGAACGCCCCCAAGAAAAGTGAGTACTAACTGGAGTCTTGGATGGACGGTCCTGGGGTGGGGACAGAGCCCCCCTCCGCGGAATTGCGCTTGGGAGCACCTTGCAGCTGGTCCTCTAGACGGCGGTTTGGGTTCCAGGGAGGGAACGCGTTCCTAGGTGTTACCAAAGCAGGAGCATCCTAAGGAGCGCGCTCTGAACACAGAGTGTGCCAGGCTTGGGGAAAAGTGCAGGAAGGGGCTCTCTCCATGGGGCATTTCCCTGGGCACAACTCCCTCTGTCCGCAGAGACCCAGGAAGGCTGCCCTGGGACTTTGATTCTAACTGTGCATTCTAACAGTAGCCCCACTGCGCCCCGGTATTGGGTCTCCACGTCCTTTAGCCCCTGCTGACGATCTGATCTGTCTTTATGTTGCAGGCAAGCTCACCGAGTGTGGAGCCGCTAGCCCCTCCAGCGCGATCCGCACGAATTTCAGCACCAAGCAGCTGACAGAACTGGAGAAGGAGTTTCATTTCAATAAGTACTTGACCCGAGCCAGGCGCATCGAGATAGCCAACTCCTTGCAGCTGAACGACACCCAAGTCAAAATCTGGTTCCAGAACCGCAGGATGAAGCAGAAGAAAAGAGAAAGAGAAGGGCTTTTGCCCTCTGCGGCCACCTCTGTGGCTTCCCTCCAGCTTACCCTCTCGCGCAAGAACCTGGGGAGCCCTTCTCAGGCCCAAGAGCCCTCATGAGATTGAGTCTTGAGGCTGAGGAAACTTGGCCTGCAGGAGTCACAGGCCAGCCCATCCCTGTCTAGACTTAACTAGCTCAGTTTGGGGGATGGAAGTGGGCCTGGGCGGAAAGAGAAGTTTCAATTGGGAAAGGAAGTATCTTAGTTGACTTCTGAGTTCCAGGCTGTGGGTGTACAGATACTAATTTGAGGTCTCTTAAGCCACTCATATGTGTTTTATCTGTGTCTTATCAGGGAAAAGGTGCCTAGCTTGCCAGCCCAACCCTGCTGCTATGTTGCCTTAGTCATATGCAATTCCTGGGTGCAGAGCTCTGGCAACCCCTGATGTGCTCCAAAGAGCGTTCACCCAAAGTTTTTCTGGTTTTAATTTAAAGGACAAGGCTACCTAAATTCAGCTTCTTGAGATGACCAAAGCTAGTTAGAGCTTCCCTGATGTAGCTAAGCTGCTTCAATGATCTTGACATTTGCACTCCAGTTTGTTTTTCTTTAAGAAGCAGTTTCTACCTCTCCATGTGCCTGAGTGAAGATACAATCGCTGTTTAGTTAGTAGCTGAACAAAAAGCCACAAGGTGGGTAAAGATCAGAACCTGAACTAAACCTTGATTCCAGTTACTCAAACTTGAATGTAAATATATACAGTATGTATATTTTTAAAAAGGTTTGCTTGAAATGAACATATATGACATTTAACGTCATAGCATGTAAAAAGGTTTGAACTGTTTTATAATAAAAATTACAGAATATACTGCTTTCTGCTTTTCCTTACTGTCATTTTCCTTTTCTTTCAAACTGATTCAGTTTCTTCTATTTGGAATTTCTTGATTTTGCTATGGGATTTTGTTTAGGTTGATAATTTAAAAAAATAACACTTCTCAAAGGTTGTGTACACAAACAAGTTTGGGATAATTATCTGAACAGGTTTAAGGGAGGAAAAAAAAAAAACCCACTCTGCCAAATATCAACCAACCTCGGAATTCCTTACCTCAAATGCCTTAGATTGATGGCAGATATGTAGACTGCACATTAATCTGTAGAGTAGGTGCTCGCTGTGGGAATGTTCTAAAGCCAAGGAGACACGGCAGGGCGTTACTGTACTTTCGTCTCCTGGTCTTACAGAAGGAAGAGGAAAAGTGACCTGAAGACTTTGCTAGTTGATTAGTGTACTCAGCTGCTCATCAGAAGTTCTCAATGTCTAAATTGCCATTTCCAAAGTCAAGCATTAGAAAGAGGCTTGGAGAGGCCAGTAGTCAGAGCTTTCCACTCTCTGTAACCCAGACTGAGCATCTGGCCTTCCAAGAGATAGCACAGAGGTGCTTTCTGTTTTTGAAATTAAATACTTTCAAATGAAGTCATAGGAAAAAGAACAAGCACAATTTGAAACTTGGCAAGAGGGTCTGTGGTAAACAACAATAACAACAAACTCTCTAACCTTATTTCCACTCAGTTCCCAATCCTGATGGCACCTGTGGTTGACCAAGTTTTTATGTAACCTTACAGAACTATTATTTGAAAAAAGTGTAATTTTAATACACAAAATCCAGTAGATACTTGGGACAATTGTCAGGGCAGGTCATTTTCCTCACTAGATAGATAGCTGTAGCTGTATCTTTAAGTTCTCTGTATAATTCAACTGAAAGGCTTAAAGGCCCACATAATCCAGATAAGAACTTAAGCTCTTCTTTTTTTTACCTAGGATTTCTAGATTCTTAGAGTAGCGCCTCAAATCCAATAATTCAGAGAACTAATGATTGTAGAGGATTACTTTCCTTATAAAACAGCAATGTGATTGCCTCAGAATATTGAAATTATAATGAAATTCCTGTCCTTTGTACTCTTTCACAGTTTAACGGAGTTGAAGAAATAAGATTGTCAGCTCTAACAAACGCAGCTGATAAGTGGGAAAAGATATCACTTAAAAAGCAGGTCTGTCAATATTATTCTTATGTTTTGCCATCTGCCCTTCACTAACTTGATGGAATCAGATCTTGTTTGAAACAACATCCTCCCCTCTGAGCTCTGAAGCTGTTTGAAAGGTCTTGTTAAAGGAGTTGTGATCAGCTTGCTTACAGCCACCTCCGGTTTCCCCTGCAGTGGTCTTTGACAAGACAATGTTTCCTTTTTGATAACCGTTCAAATGTACACCTAAACAAAAGAGTGCCAAGAGGCTTGGTCATTTCCTTAATCTACTACCCTTTTCTTTGAGAAAATAAAGCTTTGTTGTTGTTTGTTTTTAGCCACTACTAGCACTTAACCCTGATAGATGTCTCCCTTGATGAAGGTGGCTATTTTAACACATGTATAATGCTCTTCTATGAATCAGGCCCATATTAACTATTTTTTGACCAACCCGAGGGATCTTTAAAAGCTTTCTTAATGCAGATCACTATATAGCGATATTTAGTATTAGAGAGAACCCTGGCTGAAGATTGGGACAAACTATATGACCTTTGAAAGTCCCTTTCTTTTTTATTCTAAAATAAAATGTTTGTTTCTTAAAAAAAAAAAAAAAAAAAAAAAATATATATATATATATATATATATATATATATAAATAAATGGTTGAAAGTATTACAGATGCCCCTTTCCACCTCTATTGACCCCCTCCACCCTGCTCCTGTCCCTTCCCCAGGCCTTCCCTGCACTATATATATATATATATTGTATTTTCATGGGCTATGCATATATGCATATAAATTCATTGCTTTATCTCTTCCTGAAAATCCTCCTTTCCTCTGAAATATGTCAGTCTATTGAATGCTTTAATGTCTCTAGATCTTTTTTGTTTATTTTGTTCATTAGGTTCCACATATAAGTGAGGTCATGTGATAATTGCCTTTCCCTGACTGGCTTATTTCGCTTAGCATAATATTCTCCAGGTCCTGGAGGTTCCTTTCAGCATGAAAATGCTACAGAAACAATTCAATGACTTCTGCATTGTTTATTTTAGGTCTATCACTAGATGAAAGAGAATTCAGTTCTAAGAAAGCAAATACCTTCCCCAGAATTATGATGAGACTGTGTTTATAAATGGAAAGTGGATTTTAGAAATTATCAAATACATCTCATCAGTGGAGGTAACTAGCCCATGTGGATTATTTATAGAACAGTTCCCTTCTCATTATTCAGAACCTTGTATTATTTTGAGTCAAATCTTCCATGAAGTGTGATAGTTACTACTCAAATTGTGCAACTGCTAAAACAATCCTATTTCTATTTAACAAGATTTCAAATTAAACATGCTAATTCATCTTTCAGTGACCCATTTCAGGAATGAATACACAATGGACAGTCTGGCTGTTGTATAATTAAATATTTAATGCTAGTTTTCACAGAAGGACCATGGATCTGTTTTTGTAGATTCATGATAGTTGGGAGTGAGGAAAGAGAAATAAAGCATTGAATAGCATATACAATTTCCATTGCTTGAATGCTAGCAAATGAAGGTCTTGCTAATGTAAAATCCTAAAGCAATGTCACCTAGATTCTCAAAAGATTAATTGTATGCAATTTACTCTGCCTCAATCTTATATATGGCTAGGCCCAAGACCAGAAGAGGTTATGTCCGATTAGCATGTCATTAGAAAGGAAGGGCAGGAGAGTTGCATTAGCTCTGATGTTCTTAATTATGTCTTATGGACAAACAAATGCTCTATATTTGCTGAATATTGAATTTGAAAACCTCAGCACCCGATCAGTTTCAGTGAGGTGTTTAGTCTGACCACAGACCTCTCAACAAGAAAAATGCCCATTATTAAAACTTTATTTGTGGTTTTAAAGTGAAACCATACTGGACATATCTCACAAATAATGACAAATCTCCACCTAACTAGAAATCAAGATTTTCATGGTTTTGACTTCTATAGCATATTTCCAGGGCATAAACATGCAACAAATATACAACAGAGTATCTGCTTAGGTTATACTTGTTATTCAGAAATATAATCTCAATAGAAACTGTTCAGCTAAGTTCCATAATGAATTAAGAAGAAAGAAACCCTAAATATCGAATGAAAGGGAATTCTATTACTTATAATAGATCAGGAACAGGGAACGTCCAGCCCTTGGGCCAGATAAAGCCCACAGAATCTTTTGGCCTGGCTCTGCCAAGGCCTTAGGGTTTAGTTAATTAATGTTTGGCCAAATATAGCAGGCTAATTTTTAACTTGATAATTTTGAATGGCCCACGAATGATGTTATAAATATCCAAAAGGCCCTTGGCAGAGAAAAGGTTTCCCACCCCTGACTTAGATTGTAAAGATTTAAAACATCACCTCTTCCATTTCTTTCTTTCTTTTTTTTTTTTTTAAAATATATTTTATTGATTTTTCTTACAGAGAGGAAGGGAGAGAGATAGAGAGGTAGAAATGTCCATGAGAGAGAAACATCGACTAGCTGCCTCTTGCACACCCCTACCGGGGATGTGCCCGCAACCAATGTACATGCCCTTGACCGGAATGGAACCTGGGACCTTTCAGTCCGCAGACCGACGCTCTACCGCTGAGCCAAACCGGTTTCGGCGCCCTCTTCCATTTCTAACAGTGTTATTGATATAATTTGGACAGGGTGACCAAAGAGTGGACATTTGGACGTATAATAGCTAATAAAGCAGGTTGCAGACACTTTGGCGGCATTTCTAGAGGGCGCTAGACGATTAGCACATCCCATTCTTATGGATTGTGTAGAAGCTAACCTACAATTTGAGGGGTCCTCTTTAAGGAGAAAAAAAAAAGCACACACACACAAAAACACACACAAAATCATAAATACAAAATTGTTAGGCCACCTCCCAGGATCTAGAAGGGCCCAAGTTAGTGAAGCTTAAGTTTTTGTGGGTTTATGGTAAATCCATCTCTGCCCCTTTCTGAAACCATTGCTTCATCCACTGCCCACCATCCAGCCATTGCCTATAAGATGGTAACAACAATTGCTTTCCAGCCAGAATTACTGTTTGAACGATCAAGTGCATTCAATAATATATGCTGGGCGGACAAGGGCAGGTTG